CGTCTCTCTCTCTCCTCCTCTCTCTCTCTCTCTCTCTCTCGCGCGTGGTTGCGCCAGTGCATTAGTTGTTACCTCGATGGCAAGGATATGTGCAAGGGGCCCGAGTATCGGCTTAATTAACTAGCCCGCATAAATAACACACTGTCGAAGTGCACGATCTAGCCCGACCGCGTAGTTAACATCCATTGTGTTGGGACCGACGTGAATCCCTGTCTCATGCTTGCCACCTTCGGTCAACGCCTCGAGGCATCGAAGTCACCGTCATCGACAGGGACGTAACGAGTATCTTGCTTCTCTTCTTAGAAACGAAGAACGTACAAAGTGGAAATTTAGCGTTATTACAGCGTTATTAAAGAGCGCAAAACAGGTTAATTTTATTGAAATAAAAAAAAAATATTGCGTTAATGAAATATGCGACTTTAACGTTAATTTCAAACTATTCGTTAACTGATTCTTGATATTATTCTTTGCGCTTTTAGACGTGCCGTGATTTAACGCCGGAAGAAGAGAAACAAAGCGTGTGAGTGTTGGGAAATGGTTGAAATTTAGTTTGGCGAGAGTAGCGTAGAGTGATTCATGCAGGGTTAGTAAAGCGAGAAAGAAGAGAAGCAAGAAGTATGACACAGACCTCAGAAGTGTTGGCGACATCATTTGTTGGGCTACTGACCGCGTTGTTGGAGTGCGTTTGGTCCGTCTTGAGTTCACGGTGATTGCTGAACTGCACGTACACCGCTCTGCCTCTGAGTTGCGCCATGCCAGAAGCGTAGTAGGTCACCATTGTCGCCGCAGCATTCTCATCCGCCATTTCCAAAAATGCCTGCAACAGTAAAAGGAAGTATTTTGTTAGTCGCGTTGCTATGCGAAGGTCGCCGCCCTCAATCGTCAATCGTTTCTGTAGAAACTCGAACAAGTTAGATCGCGATCAAACGTTTAAGTTAAATATTATTTTTACATGTAAAATAAGTCAAATATCATTTTTTCGCAATGTACAATATATTCTGAAGTAAATTTATTCATTCCGATTAATCGTCTGATTTTCTTCACGCTAACGTACGTCTGACATATTCATGCTTTTACTACTTAACAACTTTCGGTTTGACGTGTAATAGGCTTTTACTACTTGCTCGCACACCGCTTTACGAAGCGCTTATAATTTATGGTCTTGTTAAGTGTAACTTCGTGAGATAAAAAGAGATACACGATTGTCCGATTTGTGCAGTTGCCTTAACCCGAACTGATCTCGGCAAGTTTATGTCGAGATTCTTTTCTGATTTATGCGCGGAGAGGTAAAACATAAGGAGAGGAACGGAAAGCATTTTTATATTTGCCTCGCAGCGCGAGTCGTAATGGAATATCTGAACCTCGCGTACGCGGGTAAACACGCTCGGGACAGACGGCGAAATTCAAGCAAACGGGAGAGGGAAAACGGGAGTAGCTTGGGGCAAATTTATACGCACAAGAATTTCGTTTTAATTATGCCATGTCGCGAAGAACGAAAAGATTGCAATTGATTCCACGAAAATGCTCTTTTACCGTAAATGCTATCTTAAATTCGCTTGTTTCAAGCACATTTTTTATGTCTTTACAAATATATTTTTATAGAGCAATTTTTATCATCCAGCTGTATTACGTATTGCAATAATTTATATCGCAACTTTGTCGGAAATAAAAATAAATCCTACAACGAAGAAAAAAGCGTCTCGCTCGAGACTCCAAGAAGATTTTGCTTGGATTCCCTTTTCCTTTGAGCGTTCATAAAATTAATAATCCCGTATTTCTAAATGTCCTCGCGTGCGCAACGCGGCGTAAAGAAAAATTCCCCGAAGAGCTGGGTCGCGAAGTCGCGTCCGCGACAGTCAAGTGATACGTTTATCGAGAAAACTTAATAAAAAGCATTACACCGCGTCGTCCCCCGAGCCATGCCGTTCGCATCGAGCGTTTTATTATCGCGACCGACGAGAGGAATAAGTAAATGCACGAAGAGTAAAGAAAAAGGACGCGCGTGGATCTTGCTGAGGCAGAAATCGAGCCGGATATAGAGAAAATTGATTCGTATTGCGGGGGAGGAGAGAAAATACCAAGAAAAAAAATTAATAAAGTTTCGCGTAATCGTCGGCGAGGCGAAGAGGTTTCGCGATAACTGCATTTTCAAGCTCGTAATCCACGAACGGCGAATAAGCGCGAGAATGAGATGCAAAGAACAGAAAGGATGGGGAATGTTTATGCACGGATCGCGGTTATATTCGCTGCACCGTCGAGCGCACGGAGCTTTCCGTCTCCGTCCTTCCGTCGCTTCCTTTTCCGCGCGATCCATTTTCAATTCAATATCGACGCATTCACAACGTTTGCCTCGTCCCCGCTTTCGAACATTCGCCTTTCTTCCGCGTCCGGCGCACTCGCCTTTTCACATCGATATCGATATTACTTAAAGCCTCATCGTGTCTCCTCGTCAAGAGAAGAAAGACGCGGCTGGTATTGGAACGTGAACGATAGCTTCTTACATACAAAAGCACGAGATACGTTGTTCGATTGTGAAAATGCTGGCGAGTTAGCTGGATTTGTCATTATTGTGTTGCATACAAGTGGAGTGCAAGAATAATGTGGAGCACATCTTATTATGTTTATTATTGTGCACATATTTAACATGATAATGTTTTTCTTATTTCACTGTCTTGCACAAAAATATCAAAGAATTCGAACGTTATTATTGAAAAACATATGTTTTTATATAACTAATAGTAATATTACTATTAGTTATATGTTGTTTTCAATACTTAATTCCCTGCTCGGGCGCAGCAGTGCATTATGTTTGAATATTTAATATGTTTTCTGCAAGATATTCTAGTTATAATAAATGAGGATTAGCAAAGGAGCACGCAGAGAGAAGTCACAATTTAGTTCGTTCTGTCTCAGGAAAGTTACAAGATATCTTAATATTAAGACGTCGTGATAAAATTACAGAAATTAATATTCTTTATGCAAATATGAGCAAATATGTGAAACAATAATAACGCCGCATGTTGCGTCGAAATAAAACCTAAATATTAGTACAAAGTTTAGCAGATTTCCGATTTATCACACTGCTAATCGTACAATGTTATAAGTCTCGAATGTGCGCGCTAGTTATTTTTCAGCGAAATGTATTAACGCAAGGAATTATTGTGACGTTACACGAGTTGCATTATTTCGAATTTACTTTACCTCTAAACACACACGTCGACGCATTTTGGATTTGGAACACTTACGCTAATTACAGCGCATGCAGCAGACAAATTAATTAATTGTAAACGCACAACTGAAACACTAAGCAAACAGTAGTATTACTTCATGTGGTATTTGTATTTACTTCAACGAACTATCCTTTGTACCCGCACTATGATCCGCGGCTGATAGAATCTTTCAATTAGTTAGAAAGCAATTTGTTAATGTACGAAATGCACGTCCGTAATTCGAGACGTATAAGCAACGTGTATCGATATATGTATCCACAAAACAAATTATTATGGTTAAAATAAACATTTTAAGAGAACGCGCGTAACAAGCGCAACTATATTTATATATATTTATCAAAACAAGCAGTGTGCTCAGCAGTTTATCGTTATTCGTTGATACATACGCATTATACATGTAAAAATGTTATTTATGCTATGATGCGTAAAAGACATCAAAATGCTTTTTCTATCTGTGCAGTGTTTTATTTTGTATTAGGGAAGTGACCTAGTTTTTATTCTCATATTATAGAAAATATTTACCAAATGAGTCATGAGTACTCGAAAAATATTGGCAAAGCGGCGAGATTCGCATATATTGATAAAATGTTGAAGAAAATAAAATTTCACCGGTAAATTCGAGCATAAATAAGAAAAGTTTATTTTACTGTGTAAAACGCGCAATTCGAACTGCGATCATCATCGAGACTTTTTCGAATCGTCGCCTCAAAATTCGATGTATGTTATTTTTACATTTGCCATAAATTTTTCAACGGGAATAAAAATCAGTTATGAAACTTTAGACTGGTAAATGTAAAGCGCCGTGGCACAGAGAAGTAAATTGCAAAAAATACGTCATCCGACAAAAACGATTTTCTGTCACTGAATTTTTTACAATCGTCAAAATTCAATTGCCGTCTGTGATGATTCCATAATGACTGTTAAATTTATACTCGGAACAGAAACGTCATAAAGGGTCTCGAGAGAAGGCAACAGCAATCGTGGGGAGACAAGAGATCCGAGGGAAAAATTTACACAGTTCGTCGGGGAAAATTGAATTAGTCGAGACGAATAATCATTCATTCGTATTTCGCATGAGAGATCGTCATTTCGCACCTATGCGGGGCACATGCGACCGAACGAACGAACGAACGAACGAACGAACGAACGAACGAACGAACGAACGGTCGGCACAAGTGCGAATAATATCGCGGCTGGACCGACCGACCCGGATTTAACGGCGTTAACTCCGTTTCCAGCGCTAATGACGCATAGAGCCGCGCAATTGGGTTTCCGTGCGAATGGGACGAAATCCTCCGCGCGGGATCCGCTGAATCCAGGATCAACCCTTATGTTGGTTGGACGCGCGCAGTCGGCCGCACGATCACGTCGCTCGCTTTAGTGATTAAGCGCTGCGATTTTCGGCACAATGATCTATTCAGCCGCCTAACGACGCGCGTGCGATGTTCATGCGTCAGTTTCGAATAGCTAAATAAAACGATGGCGTAACGCCATCGCGACATAGTCAATTGTGTCGGAATGAAAAAAATAACGTGTGAAAATTTTGAGTAAATTAATTTCGATTGACACAATTGTCAATTCCGCGTATGAACACGACGATTGCGAACAGATGGCAATCAACCGCGCCGTGACTCGCAATTAGAAGTCAATAGAAGGAATTCGTGTAAAAAGTTTCCGGAAAATAGCGGTTTTGTAAATCGTTGAATGAACAAGTCACGCGCGCGCCCGCGGCTTCCGATTGTGTATGTTACGATTTGCGAGCGATTTGCGCACCCGTGTTTTTCATCTCGCTCGACAACACGACAGATCGGATAAAAGACCCTGTTACAAAACTATGTACACGTTCGTGTACATCCAGCGCGTCGATAATTATCGAGCAAGCGGTTATATCGTTATGGTCGGTCGCTGCATTTCACAAAGCCATGCATTTACGAACGATTTTCTGCAGTGCGTATTTTTTTTTGTTTTCGGTTTCGCCGTATAGCGCGCAAATGAGAGCATTCTTCGGTGACGGGCCTCGCATATACGTTTCGCTGCTGAATGTTCCGCGCTGTTTGTTGTTTTATCGTGACATTTCGAGAGCGTTTCGGATTTCATGGACTATCCGAAAAATGTTTCCTGCAACCATTTGTAACTCGCCACCGCGCTCTTCGCGCTACACGCTGCATTTAATTATGATCGAGGATGCTAGAGAGACTTTTCGAGAGCGCAGATTCGAAGTCTATTAAATATAATCCGTTACGTGATCCAATGGCGGTGCCATCGTCGCGACGATGTTATTTCCGCTTTCAGTTACAGCCAGCTTGATCCATCGATCATCCTAATCAAGTAATTCATGACAGACGTGTCACACTTTGCTATCTGCGCAAACGAATACTTGCGACTAATTTCCGTTCCGACAATTTCGTGATTTATTCGAAAGATGCGACACATCAGCCGCCCGATAATTGATGAAAAAAAATATCAAGTTTTTAGAAAGTTAGAATTTTTAGAGTTTTGCCAGATGGAAAGTGTATTACAAACGTACCACCATCCATAGGTTGAACCCTGTTACAAGGGTGCCGACCACATTTATGGGATCGTATAT